GACACCCACATGGCCACAGCACTCAGACAATAATAGCACAGTGGTTTTTAGTTAACAGCTTTATTGAGGTGTAATTTATGTACTGCACAATTCATCCATTCAAATTGCACAATCCAGTGCTTTAGAGCATTCACAGTTATGCAACCATGAGCACAATCAATTGTAGAACACACACGCCCTGTGTCCCTTAGCAATCACTCCAGAACCCTCCCCCAGGCCCTGGCAACCACTGATTTGCTTGTCTCTACAGATTTTCCTATTGTGGATATTTTTTATAAATAGAATCACACAAGAGGTGGTCCTTTGGGTCTGGCTTTTCACTTCACCTGGTTCACCTACAGTGCAGCACATATCTGTCCATCACTCTTTTTCACAGGTGAGTAATATTCCATGGTGTGGATATACCACATTGTGTTTTTACATCTCACTAATGGACACTTAGGGTGTTTGCACTTTGGGCCGTTGTGCAGGAGGCATATGTGCACAAGTTTCTTATGTGAATATGGGTCTCTGTTCCCTTAGATAAATATCTACAGTGGAACTGCTGAGTCCTGTGTTGAGTGTTCAACCTTTGGACCAACTGCCACACTGGTTTCAAAAGCACAGCTGAGCCATTTTTACATTCCCACCAGCAGGGCGGGACAGTTCCAGTGTCTCTATCTCCTTGCCAACCTTTGGCATTCTTGATGTTCTTGGGTTTTTGTTTGGGAGTTTTATGTATTTACCTATTTTATTTTTTTACTTTCCTTTTTTTTTTTTTTGGTACTGGGGATCGAACTTGGGTCATTACGCTTGCGCAGCAGGCTGTGAAACCACTGAGCTAAATCCCCAGCCCCTTACCTATTTTATTTTTTTGTTTTGTGTTTTGAGACAAGGTTTCCCTATGTAGCCCAGGCTGGCCCTGAGCTCTCAGCGATCTTCCTGCCCCAGCCTCCCGAGTGCTGGGATTGCAGGAGTGTGCCACCACAGCCAGCTTGTTGATGCTTCCGAGTGTAGCCATCCAAGTGGGTGTGGAGTGGTAGCTCTCTGTGATCTGAATTTGTGTCTCCCTGACAACTCATGATACTGGGCATGTGTTTACTGGCCATTGTACAGCTTCCCTGTCTATCATGACCTGTTCAGATCCCTTGCCCTACTTTTTTATGTGTTCTTTTCTTTTTTTAAACTCATACATAAATTTGAACCTAGGACCTTCCCACTGAGCTACCTCCCCAGCCCTTTCGTTATTTTTTATTTTGAGACAGGATCTTGCTAAGTGGCTAAATTGCCCAGGATGGGCTCAAACTTGCAGTCCTCCTGCCTCAGCTTCTCAGAGTGCTCAGATTACAGCTATATATCTGCATGGCCAACCTTATCAATTGTTATGGTAAAACTATTCCAAATCCTTTATTGTAGCTTTTGTTTTTGTTTTTTGAGACAGGGTCTTGCTATGCAGTTCAGGCTGGCCTCGAACTCGAAATGATCTTCCTGCCTCAGCCTCCCATCTGCTGGGATAACAGGCATGTGTCACTGTGCCTGGCCTATTGTAGCTTTTTTGAAGTGGGCAGTATAACTATAGTCACCTTACTTATTTCTCCCATTTAATTGCAACTCAGAGCCTGTTGACCAACAGCTCCCCACCCCCTTAGTCTTCCCAGTCTCTGATAACCACTATTTTCTCAAATTCTACAAGATCCACTTTTTTAGATTCAATATATGAGATCATGTAATATTTGTCTTTCTGAGCCAGGCTTACTTCACTTAACATAATGTCCTCCAGTCCCATCGGTATTATCCCAAAAGATAGACAGACTTTATCCTTTTTATGGCTGTATAATATTCCTTTCTGTTTGCATATCACATTTTCTTTATCCATTCATCAGATGCTTGGCTATTGTGACCAGTGGTGCAATAGATGAGTGTGCAGATGTCTCTTTGACAACCCGATTTCCTCTCCTCTGGATATATACCCAGGAAGAGGATTGCAGGATCGCACTATAGCTCTGTTTTTAGCTTTATGAGGAACCTCGGGATGTTTCCCATGGTGGCTGTACTGATTTGCACTCCTGCCAACTGTGGCCAAGGGTTCCATTTGCTCCATGTCCCCATAGGGCACTTGTTATCATGTCTCTCTGATAACAGCCACTCCAGTTGAAGTGAGGCGGTAGGTCAGTGTGATTGTGATTCCCTTCGCCCATTTCTCAATGGGGTCATTTGTCCATGGCTGAGCTTCCGGGCAGCGGCCGAGCTCAAAGCTGATTGGCACTGTCTGCCAGAGCCAAAGTCTTATTTGCAGAGTCCCTGAAGTTTGGCCCCTGGGCTCGAAGGTCTGTGCCATCTGCCAGGCTCCAAACAAGCCACTTCCTCGGCCCAGCCCCCAGCCAGGGACGCAGCCTGGGCGCCTGGCACTCCCAGGAGCAAAGGACTCACTCAGAGCCTCCAGAGCCCACAGTGACATCAGTCAGGTCACAGCCACTGTCCCTGCACCATCTCTGCCCAGCCGGGTGCCTGTCTGGCTGTTCGCAGACCGTCTTCACTGCAGCCCTGGGAGCTGAGTCACACACAGATAGTAGATCGTCTCCTTCCATGTACAGGGGAGGAAGCTGAGTTAGGAGAGCTGACGTGACCTTCCCCAGGCAATAAGAGTCAGAGCTCAGCTGGGCTCCTTCGTGAACAATTGTCATCCCAGCGCTCTGGGAGGCTGAGGCAGGAGGATCTCAAATTTGAGCCCAGCCTGGGCAATATAGCAACTTTTTGAGACATTGTCTCAAAATGAAAAAAAAAAAAGGGCTGGGGATGAATCCCAGCCACAGCTCACTGCACTCAGCCCTGGCACTTGTGGGCCTTCTCTCTGGCTAAAATAATATGACCTCCATCCCTAGCATCCTGCCTGGGGTGCCACATCTTCTCTCCAAAGCCACATCCACTAACCAGGAAGCTGAAGTGGGCTGCAGTCCACCAAAAGCTACCTGGGCTCCTGGAATTTCCTCTATAGGGCCACCCCTGCCCAGCATCAGCAGGGCCTCTCCAGCCGGCACTCCCAGCCCAGCCCAAGACCTTTGCCCCTGCAAAAAGCAGGACCCTGGTTTCCATGGTCCTGTTTACCTCCAGGCCCTGTTTACCTGCACCTTCTAACCCACTCAACCCCCACCCAGGGCTGTGCCTGTATGGGAAAAGGCCTGGCCAGCTGCCTAGGATGGGTGGTATGGAGCAAACCAGAAATAAGCCCCAAGGCCCAGTTTAAGAAATTCTTCTATCTCCCTGGAGGAGCCCACAGGATTGTTTTGTTTTGTTTTGTTTTTTGTTTTTAAAATTTTGTGAGATAAGGTCTTGCTCAGTAGTTCAGTCTGGCCTTGAACCCACTATGCAGCTCAGGCCTCGAACCCAAGGTAATTCTCCTGCCTCAGCCTCCCAAGTGCTGGGATTACAGGTGTGCACCACCACGCCTGATCCTCAGTTTCTTTCTTTTTGTTTTTTGTATCTTGAGACATCTTGTAGTTCAGTCTGGTCTTGAACTTGCTGTGTATTCCAGGCTGCCCTTGAACTTGTGATCCTCCCAGTTCAGCCTGCCCATTCCTCGGATTATGAGTGTGTGCCCCCACACCCAGCAGGCCCTTGCTTTCTATTTGCAGTGAATAAAACCAACAGATCCCTTCTTAGGATATTCTGGATGTCCCAGTGGAGCAGATAAACTGGGCAGAGAAAGAGAGAAACAATTAAAAATAAATAAGAAAAATAGAGAGTAAGTCAGATGGCAGTGACACTAAACAGAATACAAAGAATGAGAAAGGACAGGCCACTGTGGGCCAAGATGTTGTGACTGAACCCAGGGTTTTCACACTGAGCTGCATCTCCAGCCCATTTTCTATTTTGAGACAAGGTCTAAATCGTTAAATTGGCCAGGCCGGGTTGGAACTTGCAATCCAGCTGCCTCAGCCTCCCAGAGTGCTAGGATAGCAGGTGTGGGTCACGACGCCCGGCTAGAAGCTGTGATTTTACTTTTATTTATTTATTTTTTTGAAGCTGTGATTTTACAGTCTTTGTATTTTGGGGAGGGTTGTTTTGTTTTGTTTGGTATAGGGGATGGACCTCGGGACCTTGCGCTTGCACGGCAGGCACTTGAACCACTGAGCTAAATCCCTGGCCCTGAAGCTGTGATTTTAAATAGGGTGGTCCAGGGGTCTCAATCAACACAAGAACCTGAAGGGAAAAGGAGTAAGCCATGTGGACATCCGCAGGAATGTCCCTTAAGGGACAGCAAACAGAGGGGGCAGGAACCGGGGCAGCCCGGAGCACTTGGCCCGCGGGAACAAGCGCCAGGAGAGCCCCGCGCCGCAGCGAGGGGCGGGGCCGGGACCGCCGAGGGCAGCGGGCTGCGGGCTGCGCAGGGGTTTGACTTCTCTTTGTGCCTGATCAAGCCTGTCTCCAGCTTTTCCTAAAGTGGAGCTGGTGCTCCCTAGAGCCCAGAGGGAGGGCAGATGGGGGTCCTGGAGGGGAGGGAAAGCGGCGGGCTGAAGGCATCCAGGCTCACTGCCACCCCGCTGGGGACAGGGGCGCTGGGGACAGGGGCGCTGGGGGGAGACCTGAGCTCAGCGCGGGTCGCCAGGGCGCTCGCTACCCTGTCTCTCTCCGGGCGGACGGCCGTGGCTTCTGCGCCCAAGCCCACCGGCCTGGGGAAGGCCCGGCCGCGCCGCCCGGAGGCTGCAGGGACTCGAGCAGGTGCGCGGCTTCAGCCCCGCCCGCTCCACGCACCGCGCGCCCCGCCCCGCGGTCCTCCCAGGCGGGGTCGGGGACTCTGGCGCGGGGAAGGACAGAGGGAGAGAGGCCAAATAATTTGTGACTTGCACCCCGAACGCCTAAAGCACCCTTTCCCGCGGCCAGCCCGGGAGATCGTTTCCGCGCGAGGGAGACGGGATCGGGGTGGGAAGGACGCCGGACCCGCCCCCGGGCTCCCACCCCTCGGCTCCCCTCCCCCCCGCCCCGCCCCCACCGCTGCGGGCCGTGTCCTCCCAGGGCGCACGGGAAAGGTCCTAGGGGGCCACGTCACTGTCCCCGGGCCCGCCCCTCCCGTCTCGGCCCCGGCCGCGCTGGGCACCTGGCTAAGTCCGCCCGGCCCCCGCCAGGGACAGCACAGTCGCCGCCGCCGGTCCGCAGAGCCGCCCGTAGGTGCTGAGGAGCAGGCGCGGCAAGCGCAGAGCCCAGCGGTCCAGGCTCCCCGGAGCAGCCGCGCGTCGAGGCCCCGTCCCCGGGCTGTGAGTCCCGGGCCCCGCGCCCACGGGCCGTCGTCTTCCCCGCACGCGGAGCCGCTCGGTGGAGGCGCAGCAACCATGTCCATGGGCCTGGAGATCACGGGCTCCGCGCTGGCCGCGTTGGGGTGGGTGTGCACCATCATCTGCTGCGCGCTGCCCATGTGGCGCGTGACGGCCTTCATCGGCAGCACCATCATCACGGCGCAGACCACCTGGGAGGGCCTGTGGATGAACTGCGTGGTGCAGAGCACCGGCCAGATGCAGTGCAAGGTGTACGACTCGCTGCTGGCACTGCCGCAGGACCTGCAGGCTGCCCGCGCACTCATCGTCGTCGCTATCCTGCTGGCCGCCTTTGGGCTCCTCGTGGCGCTCGTGGGCGCCCAGTGCACCAACTGCGTGGAGGACGAGACGGCCAAGGCCAAGATCACCATCGCGGCGGGCGTGGTGTTCCTGCTGGCCGCGCTGCTCACCCTGATCCCGGTGTCCTGGTCGGCCAACTCCATCATCCGGGACTTCTACAACCCCTTGGTGCCCGAGGCGCAGAAGCGCGAGCTGGGCGCGGGCCTGTACGTGGGCTGGGCGGCCTCGGCGCTGCTGCTGCTGGGGGGCGGGCTGCTCTGCTGCTCGTGCCCCCCGCGCCAGAAGTACTCGACCTCCAAGATCGTCTACTCCGCGCCGCGCTCCGTCGGGCCGGGCACTGGCACAAGCGCCGCCTACGACCGCCGGGACTACGTGTGAGCCGGCAGGGGAGGCCGAGCGCCCTGCACGCCGGGCAGCTTCTTGCTGGACTGGGAGACCGGCCCTGCTCCCCGCTTCTCCGTCCGCCACCCCGTGGCGGGCCAGGTAGCCGAAGGAACCGAACCACATGGACATCGAGACCTCGCCCTTCTCCAGCCAGGGCTTGGAGTGGCCACCAGCTACTTGCCAGCCGCCTCGGGCCTTGGCCCCCGAGCCCGCGGTGGGCAGGGACTGCATCCTTGAAAAAGGCCATTTCGTATTTTGCAATAAAAGCCTTTTTTTTTTTTTTTTTTTTTGCAATCACCGGGTTCCTCTACCTCCTGGCTGAATCCGCCCTCGGGGGTCGCCCTGGGCTGGATACTTCTCCCGGGCTGCACGGAGCTTAGGACAGGACCGAGGTTCAGTAAGGAGAAGGTCGAAAACTGAGCCTGGGTGGCCCCTTCAGTCGCTAGGGGGGATGTGGGGCCTGTGGGGCCGCGCCAGGCGGGAGCACATGGTAGGCCGGCGGGGGAGGCCCGGCCGGTGGCGGCTCCCTCTCCTCGGCATGTGCCTCGGTGTAAGCTGGGCCCGTGGGTCCTCCACAACGCACAGGCATTCCGAGTCTCCTACGCCGTGTGGAAGAGCACACTCGATACTGTGATTTCACATTTGGAGAAGGAAAACAAAAAGATCTATTGTTCAGATAAGCACACCTCCAAAGGAGAGGCCAGTCACCACCTGCTCCCCCCGGAGGAGAGAGGCGAGGCCCCCACCTGGTTCCGGGGACCCTCAGAGGGTCGAGGAGGACTCAGAATGAGTGTGGGTGGGGCCTGGAGTAAACACTGTTGCGAAGCTTGGGTCTCGGAGAGGGAAAGATGGGTCTTGTCCAGCTCAGAAAGGCCAGGGGCTTTCTAAGAGGTTATCCAGCCCTCCCTGAGAGGTGCCAGCAAGCCAGGAGACTAAAAGCAAGATTCAGCCAGGTGTGATGGTACAGTTCTGTGGTCTTGCTACCAAGGGGGCTGGGGCAGGAAGATTGCAAATTCAAGGCCAGCCTGGGCAATTTTGTAAGATCCTGTCTCAGAATTAAAAATTTTTAAACAGGGCTGGGGATGTAGCTCAGAGTGAAACCCTGGGTTCAGTCCCCAGTATTGCAAAAGGGCAGCAGGGTTATTGAGTCAGATATGATGGTACAGGCCTGTAATCTGTTACTGAGGAGGCTGAGGCAGGAGGATCCCAAGTTGGAGGCCAGCCTGGATAATTTAATGAGAGAGTGTCTCAAAATTTAAAAACTAGAGGGCTGTAGTGAGGCTTGACATTTCCTAGGTTCAATCTCTAGTACCAGAGGAAAAAGAAATCAGGATTCAGAGTATTTGCTTGAGAACTTTCAGATGCATGAGGTGAGAAGGGAGGATGTACCAGTGACGGGAGCCTTTTAGAGCTGTTTTGTTTTGTTTTGTTTTTTGAGAGAGTCTTGCTCAGTAATTCAGGCTCGCCTTGAACTCACTGTGTAGCCCAGGCTGGCCTTGAACTCACAGCGAGCCTCCTGCCTCAGCCTTCCTAGTGCTGGGATTACAGACATGTACCACTGCGCCTGGCACCTTTTTGAGCATTCAGTGATACAAACAGCCTGCTGCGTACTGTAGCTTCGACACCAGTGTGTGGACCGCAGTTTTCCAGCTCAGGCCATGATTCAGTTGGCAGTGCCATGTACCAAAATCAGTTCTGGGGGAACTGGTGGCTTCCATTTGGAGTGGATTGAGTCTGGCAAACCTTGGGGACATCCAGGTAGGAACATCCCAGAAGTAAGAGGGCAGAGGCAGTGACCTAGTAAACTTGAGTGGTTACATACAGACCAAAATTGAAACCAGGAGAATGATGAGGTCAGAGTAGAAAACTAAAAGAAAAGGGTGTCAAGGAGGTGGGCATTGGCCAGTGTCTAAGACCACAGATGGTCAGGCAGCTGGGTGTGGTGGCACACACCGGTAGTCCCAGCATTTGGCAGGCTGAGGCACGAAGGTTGCAAGAGTTTGAGCCCAGCCTGAACTACGTAGGTAGACCCTGTCCAAAAAAGCCAGAAAAAAAGATCCCATGGTAGCTAAACTAGTTTGTTTTGGGGGGGGTTTTTTAGACAGGTTCTTCCTGGGTAGTTCAGGCTGGCCCTGAACTCACTGTGTAGCCCAAGCTGGCCTCGAGCTCTCAGTGATCTTCCTGCCTCAGCCTCCTGAGTGCTGGGATTACAGGCATAGGCTACCACACCCAGTTTGTATGTTTTAGGAAAACACTTAACTACAGAAAAATTCTCGTGGTTAAGGAATGCCAGCGTGTTGTCACCCTGATAACCCAAGGGAGAGGAAGTGGACTGCTATTCATAGTAAGTGTGCCAAAACCTGAGTCACTCCTGATTAAAACCCAAGAAAGCTGGGTGAGCAGCTGCCTCCCCTCAGGGAACCACTGGTCTAGTCATCTGCAGGGTGAGGACTGGCGCGTTAGCCAGCTCTTTGTGTGTGCAGGGCTTCTGCAGGTCCTGCGTGTCCCTGCCCAGATGCCCGTCACCAAACGCAACATAGTATGATAAAACAAATAGGAAGAATCTAAAAATTTATGACACCAAAGACCCATTGTCACCCCTCACTCGGAAAACACTTAGCCCATTGTTCTTGCCACTTTCTGAAGCACTTTGCAAGTCCTCTTTCCTGAGCGTCGTTAGTTGCACTGTCCTGGCTACCTTGATGTCCTCAATAGGTTCAAAATATTTCCTTTTCATGGTCATTTTGTTTGTTTTTGGTTTTTTTTCTTGTACCGGGGATGGAACTCAGGACCTTGTGCTTTCCAGGCAGGCGAGGCACCACTGAGCTAAATTCCTGACCCCTTTCATGGTCATTTTTTTTGACTTTGGGGAAGAGCCAGAAGTCGCCTTGTGCCAGATCTGGTGTATAAGGTGGAGGAGGACACAGGGTCATGTTTTCAACTTTATTCTCCTTAAACCACAAAATAGAGTCTTTGGTTGTACAAACATCACTAGTTACAGTCTTGGCAAGAGATCCTGGCTTGGGACAGGGTAGGAGGTAGAGCCAGGACTTCTGAGGGTCTCTTCAAAATGCTAACACCCAGGTTAAAAGACTCGGGACACAGGGTCATGTTCTTACGAGCCTGCCTTCCGAGCCTGCCTTCCCATTGGGTGGCATTGGCAGCAGCATTCACTGTAGTTCTGGTCACACCTCGTGAAGACACTCAGGAATGGTGGGTGTGGTGGGGCATGGCTGTAATCCTGGCGCTGGGGAGGCTAAGGCAGGAGGATTGCTGTGAGTTGCAGGCCAGCCTGGGGCACACAGTGAGACCCTGTCTGAAAGAACTGAAAGAGGAAGAGGGGAGAGAAAGAGAGGGGCAGGTAGACACTTGGGAGAGGGAACTTCCAGAACTGCTTAGAAAGTGGCAGAAACAATGGCATCAGTGTAAAGTGAAGAGAAGCATTTGGAGGGGATCTATGGCAATGTTTCTTTTACTATAATAATTCTGTTTTGCTTTTTGAGACAGGGTTTCACTATGCAGCCCAGGCTGGCCTGGAACTCATGGTAATCCTCCAGCCTCAGCCTCCTGAGTGCTGGAATGACAGGCAGGCACCAGGCCCGGCTAATTTTATATTTTTATTTAAACATTTGCCTTTAAAAAAAAAAAAAATCGCATGTCATGTACTCCAAATAGAAGCAAACATTTTCCCCCAGAAACCTGGGCCACCTCGAAGTCAGGGACACAGCGTCTTCTAGCCAGGGGAAGGAGACAGGAGAGAAAATAAATAAGCAAGCGTGGTGAGCACAGGGATGGATTCTAGTGAGGGCTAGGGGTGGGGGTACAGGCTGAGCGGCTGAAGAGGGGAGAGGGGAGGCTCCCCGCTCTGCACACACCCCCTCCTGCCCTCAGGGTCCGTCCTAAACCTGCTCCCTAATCCTCTCAGGAGTCCTGGGTACGTGCAGGTTGCGTGCCGACCACAGGCTGGACAGGGTCCTGGGTGAGGGCACCCTGAAGTCCTTAGAATAGAGCAAGGCATTTGTTGTCCAAAAACATACCCCAAACTGGGCTTGATGGTGCACACCTCTCATCCCAGCACTCTGGGAGGCTGAAGCAGGAGGATTGAAAATTTGAGCCCAGCCTGGACAACTTAGGACTTCAGCGCTCTCCCCAGGGCAGCACACTGCCATCTGTGGTGGCTCTGCTCCTTGTCACCCTTCCCCACCTCTGCACCTCCCCAGGCCGGGGCCAGGGAGCCCGTCCTGAGGTCTCAACCTGGGTCCCACCCCGAGCTAACCACACAGTGAGGACATAACTGGTGTGTACCTATATTCTGCCTGGGGACATGGCTTGGTGGTGAGAAAGTCCCTGGGTTCCTTCAAAATTCACCACCCTGCACCTTCACCTGCCAAGCCGGGGCCCTGTCCCACCCCACCTCTGTGCCACAGGCTGCCCTGTCCTGCCATTCCTGTTTCAGCTCTTCCCTTTCCTCCTCCTCCTCAGACTGATGCCAAGTCCTTCTCAAAGAAACAGCACTCGCTGTGGGCACCTGGAGGTGAGGAGGGTGGCAGGCCTGGAAGGACAGTACCTTCCTTTCTCCTCCTCCTCCCACCAGGGCTCCAGGAAAGGTCACCATGCCAAGCCAGGGCCACCCTGCAGAGCTGTAAAGGAACCAGCGTGGTGGCACACGCCTGTGATCCCAGCACTCCAGAGGCTGAGGCAGGAGGATCGCCGAAAGTTCGAGGCCAACCTGGGCTACATAGTGAGTTCAGGGCCAGCCCGAACTATATAGCAAGTCTCAAAAAACAGAAAACAACAACAAAACCCCTCAGGCTCCTGGCTACTAGGTGCAGTCTTTAGGTCCTAACAGGCTCCCTCCTACCCCGAGGACTCCTACAGATGCGGGGCCACCCTTGCCTCTCTTTGGCGTCCCACCTCCTCCTGCGCCTGCTTCCTGCCCCCAAAACCCTGCACGCCAGGCACCTGGGCCTCAGCACAGGTTCTGTCTGCACCTCACCTGCTGGGCACACTCCGAGGCCACTTGGGGCTCAGCTGACACCTGCACATCCACACCATGACATAGCCCTTGTCACGCTCGTCCAGAGTCAGCTCCGAGCTTGTTCTTCTCTTCAGCTCTGTCTGGGATGGGCCTGAGCACCCTGTTGGCCTCCATGTGCCCCAAGTCCAGCCCTGAGCTGGTGCTCAGCAAATGAGAAGCAAGGCTCTCCTCTCTAGTGTTCGGTGTTATCAAGAAGCAGTAGAGTGCGGCATGGTGGTGCACGCCTGCCTGTAATCCACCACTCAGAAGGC